AGACCGTAATTCTTGCGCAATATTACGGGCTGTAATATCTTACGTAAGATTACGTTTATATAATTTGCTGATGTAGTAGTGCCTGGTATTATATACCAGCACCAAAGCAAGTACTCTGACTAAATGAATTGAGTTCAAAGACCCCGCAACTACAAACATATACGACAGAAAGTGTAAAGATTTGAATATGTTAAGTGAAAGTGTAAGATTTGAAAAAGTTAAACAAAAGTGTAATAGTTTGAAAAAATTTAAATGAAATTTTGAAAATTAATGAAGTTATGCTGTAAAAAAATTCTAAACTTAGTATAAATATGGATTATCATATATATGATTATGGCATTGTAATAATATAAAGCTATACTTTACAATGCATAGTATAATATCAAGTAACAATATAGTTAATAATATATAAACTACAGTCAAACCTCTCTATAATCACATACTTGGGATACAAAAATGTGTGATTGTAGAGAAGTATGACAGTTATAAAGGTAAAATTTACTATATTTAATAATGGTTTGTTTTTAATAAAACATGCCTATAAAGAAAATGTGCTTATATAGGAGATGACTATAGAGAAGTTGGACTGTATATAAAAACAATACAAAAACAATAATGTTAAATTTTTTAAGATTTAGCAAAGCAATATCAATATTATAAAGTCTGCCTATAGTCTTGGTATTGCCTGAAACAATATAGTAACTCAAAACACTCCAAACTATATTTATAAATTACCTACAAATTTGTATTAAAGATTTTGTAATACCTATATATATAATCAAATAGTAATTACTAAAAATCCAAAATATAAGAAGAAGTTATTGTGTAATAAGTATAATAATAAGTAGAAAGAAATTAAAAACAAACTGATATATAAAATCAAGAATATTATCAAAATTCTTACTTCTGTAATACCTATTATTTAAAACTCCAACACTAGTGCCACCAACCTCAATATTACTACTCATATTAACTCCAACACTAGTACTACCAATTTCAAAACTTCTACTGCTAACACCAACATTCTAACTACTCAAATCTTTAATCTTGCTAACACTAATATTATTTAGCCTTTTTATAGCTTTAGTGCTACCAATATCAACATTATAGAGTCTGTTTATAGCCTTGGTGTTGCTCTAAATAATATAGTAACTCAAAACACTCTAAACTATATTTATAAATTACTTATAAACTTGTATTAAAGGTTTTGTAATGTTCATATATATAATTGAATAATAATTACTAAAAATCTAAAATATAAGGAGTTATTGTATAATAAGTGTAATAATAAGTGGAAAAAATTAAAAACATACTAATATACAAAATTGAAAATATAATTGATATTCTTACTTTTATAATACCTATTATTCAAAACTTCAACACTAGTGCTGCCAACCTTAATATTATTTTACCAACAATTATTTTACTGACATCTCATTTCACGAACAATTGATTTACTAGCAAGTTCATTTTACTGGAAATTATTTTACTGACAATTAGTTTATTGACATATTTAATTCATCCACATGTTTAGCTTACCAACAATTGATTTATTACAATCATTATACCAACAAGCTTATTTTACTGACAGTACATTTTACCAATAATACATTTTGCCAACAAGTTTAATTACTACTGTACTATAGAAGCAAACTTATAACATTAATTAGTTATAAACTAAGATGCAATTAAGCTATAATTAGTGATATAAATAAGTCTGTATCTATATACTGACTAATAACAATTTATAAAAATGCCAAGCTAACCCTATATGATTATCAGAAGAATGAAGTTAATTAATTAAATTTGTTATTGAGCCCTAATTTCCTCCCCAAGTTGTGATTGAATACATGATATCCTGTCTAGATCATGTTGCTTTAGTATAGTCACAAAATCAAAACTATTGTTTTTTGTTCAATAAAAAAAAAAAACTCAAAATAATCTAAAACATTACTGAAAATAAGTTCTTCTATACAACCAAGAAAATTTCATTTAGTACTTTATTTTCAAAAAATATAATTTTTGTAAATCTATATTTACAAGCTTGTAATTTTAAAATATAACCAATACTATATTTTTGGCTGTGATTTTTTTTACTTTTGTTTAAAAAATAAATGAGATTAGCACTAATATTTGAAATGTTTCAAGTTTATTTTTATTAATATTGATACAACACTACAAATAAATAAATTGCTACTAAATTGCTAATTAATAGATTTGTTTTATATTAATATAATAATATAACTCAAGTTCTCAAAAGCCATTCTTCTAAATTTTTCTACAAATAGTTTTTAGAAATTGTATAATAAGTACTATTTAAATAAATTTTACTGCAAAGTTGCCAAATAATTAGTAAATTTTTTTCACATGCTTACAAATCAAAAAAAATTTAATACTTATTTTGGTTTCAAATTTTTATATAGCAGTATGACTTAAAGTAGGTATGTTTACTTCAATTAAAGATTATATTATAGTAATATTTAATAAAATTGACAAAAATTTATTTAATCATTTATATGAAATTATTTACTAAAAAAAACTTGAAAGTGCTAAAAGTTAAAATAGCAATATGTTAGTATTAAATAGCAAAAAGAATTATTTAAAAAATTTAATCATTGCAAATTAATATTTAAAAAGTAATTCACTAATTTATTCTTTAAATATAGCATATATGATAGCTACAAGAATTTTTAGTTACTCTGGTTAGTAATGTCCAATAGAAACTATATTTGCATTTGTTCAATAGGAAGTTGGAGAAAAATTAGTAAACCCAACTTGATAGTGAAACATACTGCCAGTGAAATGTATTGTAGTAAAATAAGCTTGTCAGTATAATAATTGTCTGTAAATCATATATACACTTTTCCTGATGATTACTTGTACCAAATTTTCCCACTGATCAAAAAAAAAAATTGTTGTAGTTGATGTAACTATTAGGCAGTTCTTGCAAAGGTCCAACCAGGTTTTATTCTCTATCTGGGGACTCCTTTGACATATTTGGCATGCAAGCCAAAAGCATTAGTATACAAGATAACTGGCTGGAGGTTGTGCCCTTGAATACAAAATTTTGGTGTTAACATTCTTGGTGGAAAAAGCAGTCTTTGCTGACAAAGCAACCGAGAGACAATAAAGAAAAGGAGAACAACAAATGAGTTTTTTAAAGACATTCCTTGAAAATTTGAAGTACTTAATCCCAAAAACCATTCTACATATTCTCACTAGGTTTTTTGGTATTTCTCTTGAAATTTTTTCCAAAAAGTGGAAAATTTAGCATACCCCATTAAAAGATCAACATTGCTTACATTACTGAATTGGGATAGTCACGAGGAAGTCAGGTGCTCTACATTTAACAACTGTTGAAAGACACGTACAAGTAGTATGTAAACAAAGATCAACCAATTAGTTTTGTATTTATAGGTAAACAAAAAAAATTTTGTATTTCCCACATAATAAGAACTATTTTAATACCAAAGTAAGGTGAAGGTGGGGATTGTTTTACGGAGTATTAAATAATTTTTAACTGAAACTTTGTGTTTCTCCAAGCATTGGTATACCTGTTGCTTTTATGGTTTTTGCTTTTTTCTTTTTGTCTTTCTCTTTTTTTTATCATTTTATTTTTCTCTTTTGTATTTGGTTCTCGTTTAGGTTTTTGTAGTTCTTCCACCTTTTTTTAGTTTAGTTTTTTTTAGTATACTTGTCATTCTTGAGGCAAGGATTATAGAATCCTCTTGCTTGAATATTAAGAAGGGAAAGGTCTTAAGGAAATTAGTAATCATGACAGGCGGCTAATTCTAGTTGATGATGTATTTATCTACTTTGGTTGCAGAAGAGATAGATATGTAGACAATATCGGCTATAGCAGGTCAAACATAGGTGTCTATAGGATAACCAGGTTAGCCGAAACTTAGAAATTAGATACTAAAGCTAGTGTTTTAGTGATAAATCTGCATGCGGTAGAGCCAATTGCAATTCATCTAATAAAGTTTAGGTATGACTGCAAAATTTTCAAAAAAAAAAAAATTGTCTGTAAATCAATGGTAAACTAAACATATTGTGAATTAAACATGTTGGTAAACTAAATGTCTATAAAATGATTATTGGTGAAGTGAACTTGTTAGTAAATTGATTGTTAGTGAAATTAGGTGTTAGTGAAATAATTGTTGGTAAAATAAATACCACCTTTCAATATCACTACTAATATTTTTAATACTACCAATATCAATACTACTAGCACCAATATTCTAACCAGTTATAGCCTTAATTTTGCTAATACCAATATTATTCAGCCTTCTTATAGCCTCAATGTACTGATATCAACATAACTCAGCCTATCTATAACCTCAGTTCTAATTATATTGACACCATTTAGTCAATCTATAATCTTAGTACTGCTTCTATTATACTGCTATAGATAATTGAAGAAATCATTGCTTCTAATTCACCTCTACCAAATGCAGTAGTACAAAAGTGAGCTGCAAAAATTATTAATAATACAAATAAAAAGATCACTGAATATCAAAGAGCCTATAACTTAACAAATAGCTTAGAGGCTTGAATTAACTTAATAAATAATATACAAGATTACAAACAAGTTATCTATACAAAAAATAAATGAATTAACCATCTACAAAAGCAAGCAGAGTATAAATAAAATAGTGTAAAAAAAAGGTTATTATTAATATTAATAATAATATTAAATTTAAATTTAAATTCAAATTCGAATACTTACTATTCTAGTTCTTATTAGAATTAAACTTTTAAAAGAAAATCAGATAGTTGTAAGTATGATAAACCTGGCTGCCTATCTTTTTTACAAAAATATTTTGATTTATTTGATCAATTCTATAAAAGCATAGCTAAAAATGAAAAAAGAAAAAAAAGTTAGAGCAGTTGGTCATCTTTTATAAAACTTAATACTATATATATCTCTATAGTAGCCAAGGCCCATCATTATTTTGCAAATTTCACAGTCTTATCAGTTTCTAGAACTAATAAAACTGAGCATCTAGATAAACATTATTGTCTTGCCTCTGTAAAGGCAGCAAGACTATTTGCATTATTATTTTTTAATTTTTTGATTATTATTTTACAAAATAATTAAGCCAAAGTCTCTTTTGGCATTCTAGCAGTTAGTAAATCCTTCAAAGCTATACAAACAATTAGAGAGCCTATAACAGTTCCTAATTATAATTTCTCAGTGAGTAAGCAGCAAAAAACTAATTTTATTAGTGTACTTGGTAATAAACCCTAATAATACAAGTACTAAACTCTAAAATAGCCAAATCTTAATCTTTATTTTCTCCAATATGGAGTTGGTATAAGTTCTACAACCCATATATACAACTTAAATTCATTAGTGGAAAATAGCTGTTTGGATAGTATTAAAGATTGAAAATAAAATTAAACCCTTCTGGGTCCTTCTTGTTGATAGGTGCCCAGATGAAAATTCTAAACACATAAAAAATATTATCTAATACTTAACAATATTTTGAATATTCGATCTGGACTATTTAATTATTTAGATATATATTCCAGATTAGTGTTTGTATAATTAATTTCTGATTAAAATAGTAATCCTAAATAAAAATTTGGAAAGATTTGACTGTAATTAATTTTGTGTGATCTTAATTACTACAACTAGCTATAAAATATTAGTTAATTCTAGTAATTATTTCAGGTTAGTCCAAATATAACCCATAAAATAAGGCATGGCATTATTATCTCTAAATCTTATGAGCATAGTGTTGCTAGTGGATATTTATAGCTTCCACTTAAACTCCCAAGGCCAAGTTATTGATAAAAAAATTACAAAAAGAAATTTCAGATATGCAGGGTCATTTGAAAAGCTGGTTATAATGGAGTATGCTGAAACCAACAGCTCCTTATTCTCTATCAAGTTTCCAGGATCTAACAATGAAACTACTGTACTCTAGAAGTGGCTAGAATTTTATACCAAAATATACAACTATTCTTTAGATCTAAGAAAATTCAATCTAATTGGATACACCTAGCAGAAATGTGGTCAAATACTATCAATTATAATTTTAATCTTGATTTGAAAACACAGAAAATAGACCAGAACTACGAATGAACTGCTAGTACTGA